TCTCTCGCTCTCTCTTTGTCTCTCTCGTCCTTGGCCTCTTCCTATCTTTCACGCACAGGTATTTTCTAGATACTGCCCAGCACATTTGCATCACCATTGCGGTGGTTCACTGTCGAACACTTTGCGACTTCATCAACCATGACTCATCAGTCGTGGTGGTCGTCATCACCATGGGGTGGAAGAACGATAAGGCCCAGAATGGTCAATCTTGGAACAGTACTTGCACAGCAAAACCGACCAGAAGCACCGCCGATGGCAAGTACCAGGATTGGAACAGCCTTATTGGTTTCAAAACCACCCATGGCCTTCCACCATCCTTTGGTTCATGGCGACCGATTCATACCCACCGTCTTTCTAGGGTAGAGACCGTCGTTTCGCTGCAGCCCCGTTTTCAGAGCATGCGTGTGCGTATGTGTGCACGCCTGTGCATGGCGACCGCTGCGAGTGAACTGTCTTTGTAGAGCAGGGGGCAAGGGCTCGAGTGATGTCGAGTGAACGGCCTTGTCCAACGAAGCCAAGTCATTGGAGTGGNNAGTGGATGCAGTGGCTGATCACCACTGTGTACCTGTTGTTTGTGACCTACTGCAGTGTACTCGCTTCGCATGGTTTCCACGATGACGTGCCGGCTGCACGGTTACTACAATCTGAAGCTGATGTTCAGTCTGTTTTTTTGTGGTGTCCTTGTCGGTCGCTCGTCGCAGTCATCCGTGCCGTGCCGAAGTGTGTGTGTGTGTGGAGGCCCTGATTCTAAGCTAAAGGTTTTGGAAGCTACGATGTACAGATGCAGGGGACCACCGGGGCCCCCGAGGAGTGGTGGTCAGCGGAGACCTCCTCGGGGAACCTGTGTAGACGTACCTGCATGTACCTGCTTTCTCTCGCCTGAGGTGCTGCAGCTAAGGATCTACGGATCCTGGACGATAGTTGGCTAAAGGCCCATATCACAAATTACAGCCAGCGTCTGCGTGTATGCGAGGGTTCGGGGGTGCGTGTGTCCACGTGCGTGCGAGTTCGCGTGCGTGCTTGCTGCCTGATGGAAATCTGCCCCTGGTACGTCTAGCGGGTTTCTGTGCGTGGAACTTGGATTTGCGCACTGAAACTTTGTGTGTTGCTGCGGTGACAAGACGCCATCATCCTTAATATGCGGCTTCTGCGTCGTGTCATCTTCTGGCCGGCTTTTCCTTACGTGCCAAAACTAATTAAGCTTTCTGCGTGGACATACGTGTTGCTGCAGTTGCCTCTCCGACAGCTCGCTCACGCTCAATAGTGTTTGCAGGTCGGAGCAGGCATGCAACTGGGTTTTCTCTCGGCGGGAATTGGGCTCCCTCTAGCCCGCGCGCTCCAGTCTTGCGCTTTCGGCATGATTGCATGTCTTTATGACTTCTGCCATGTTGCGAGAGCCAAGACATCACGACATGCCCCATGCATTGGTGTGCCGTTGCTTTGAGGATAGCGCTGCACCTTGGGTAAGCCGGTCTTGGTTAGTTGAAGTCCACACCAAGAAAATCAGCTGCGAGAGCGCGCGAGAACTTCAATTGCTTCAAACTTCATGCTCTCCGCTCTGCTGTGTGGGCGGACTAAAGCGGTTGTGTGTCACTTGTGTCATGTAGTTGGAGGGCATGTCTCCTGATCAGAAGCATTCCTGCTAGGACAAGAAGAAATCTTGCCAACGGCGCCAGAAGCTGTCCATAATTTGATCGCGCGCGAAAACGCTCAGTTAGGCGCTTCTGCAGCAATCTTGTGGGAAAGAGGAATTTCGAATCAGTCATGTTCGGGTAGACATTTCCCGTTGTGAGCCAGACCTCTCATGCCGATGCCGTTTCCAGGAACGACCAGCCAGTGGAAGAACCAATTAATGTACAGTGGAGCCACGGTAAGTTGTGAATAGTTGTGATTGCAAGTGGCACTCGACCAGCAACACCAAATATCAAAAAATGCAGGACCGCTGCTGCAGCAGTAGAGTAGCCATAGGGGCCTCAACAAGCCTTAACAAGCTCTATGCACCAGGCTTAAGCAGATGGTGTGATTCGTCTGAATTCATTGACAGCCATGACGGATCCCCGAAAAGAGTATATTGTCCAGTGCATCATCAGCGTGTTGAACATTCCACGCAACGAATTCCGAAGCAACACAACCTCCAATACTGCTTTGGAAAAGTTTCTGGATCATCCAAACGAGAAGATCCTCCAAGCCATTGAGAACGATTCAGGGGACACATCCAAGCGGACCGTCACGTTCCAGCTTGGCTTCTCCAGCTATGCAGAGGGACTGCCAGAGATGCACTTCGTGAAGACCTCTTATGAGCCCTTGACAGAGGCAAACATCTCTAGGCTCGTAATGGTGTCGTCACTCAGAATGTCTGCTGTCCGCAGCCTGTACTACAATGTGCATGAAGTTTACATGCCACTCTTGGTGGAGACCAAGGAAGGAACGGATGGGCTTGAAGGCCGTCTGACGGACAGCTTGGTGGAGCTGGATGCTGGCCTGAAGGCATCTCTTCGCCGTGGACTCCGAAGTCGGAATGCTGGCGAGTTTGATGACAACGATATGTCAGGGATCGTCACGCCAGTGGATGAGGTTCACTTTTGGGAAGAATTAAAGAATGCTACCGGCGTAGGCGATGCTGCAGTAGACCGCGCCAGCAAATTCTCAGATGCGCTTGCGCCCATTGCGTCCGACTTGGATGATTTAACAAAGAAGACGTTTCCCCAATTGCTTGAACTTGTTGAGACGCTCATGGACTCACTGGATTCCTTATGGCAGTGTGACGTGACGCCTCAATATCCAGCAGCGAGGATGCTTCACTTCTTGAAAGTGATTGCCGGTGCTCTTGGTAGGTGTGTGCAATCCAGACTGAACAGTCTGAACGTGTGGACATCATCTTTCTCCCAGGTGTCCAAGCACATCCGAGAAGGGCACAAAGTTTGTGAGCGCTGGAACGAAGTCACCGTGGATCTGACGGATGTACAATGGAGGTCAAGCGACAACAGGTGGGAAGGTGAAGCCTACAAGGATCCCTTCCTCACGAATCTTGCTGGTCGTATCCAAGAGGTTAGTCAACTGCGCGGGCAGCACGACCAAATCCTGAAGCTCCTCAGCGAGGACGAGCTCAAGGCGATGCAAATTGAAAGTTGCTTCGAGCCCTTCTTGAAGTTGTCTGCCTTCAGCTACAACGACTACACCGTGCCAGCCTGGAGAACTGCCCTTGCAGAATACGAAGCGCGAATGGCACCGGTGGAAGCTCAAGTTGCAGAACGTCTCCGTGCAGAGCTCTTCACAAATACCTCCAATCCGGCCCAAACTGTACGCGTCTTCCAAAGATACCAAGATCTTCTGGAACGCCGCAACATCCGGCAGTCCTTGACCAATGAACGCGAGAGGCTGCTTACAGAGTTAGACGACTTTCTCGGCCGAGTTCAGGCAGAGCTAGAGACTTTTGATTCCGGTAACTTGCCAGCTGGTCGTGGCCTTAGTTTGCATGCACGGAAGATGGTTTGGGTAGAGCAGCTGCGGAGCAAAGCGGATCTGGCAGCTCGGCCGCTTGCTGGTTTCCTGAAGGACTTGCACTCGGCAGGCAAGGTTGGCAATACCTATAAAAAGGTCCGTGCAGAATTGAAGGAGTTTCGAAACAGAGCCTACAAAGATTGGTGCGATGAAGTGGAGTCGCAACTGAAGGATCCTGAGGATCCCATTGCTCTAGAAATGAACAGCCGTGTGATGGACTTTGACACCGCACAGCAGGGAGCATTGAAAATCACATACTCCGAGCGACTGATAGAGCTTGTGAAGGAGGCACGCATCTTTGAGCAGTTGGGCTGCAACGTGCCAAACAAAGTCAAGCTGGCAGTGCAGGATGGTCTGAAGTTCTATCGCTTTGCCGTGCAGCTAAAGCAAGTCTGCAACTTCTACAACACACTTTCGGCAGAGCTGCTCCCATCGCAAAAGCTTATGGTCCTACAGCCAGCTCTTGCCTTTGAGCAGCTCTTCAATGAGAAGAGCGGAATGAAGAAAGTCCAGTGGAACAAGTTTGACCAGCTGGAAACTTTCACCCGAAGCGTCAAAGACGGTGCAGAGCGCCTACGAGCAGTCAACCGGCGCCTTCGCAACGGCCACACCCAAGTTTCGCAGGAAGTTGTGCAGTTGGCAAACATCAGCTTGCTACGTCAGCGCGACCAGTGGAAGCAGAAACTGGCACAGATTCAGAAGGCCATCGATGCCACCATTGGAGCTTGCGGGTGCCAAATTCCAGATGCAAAGCCATGGAAAGCTCACTGGGATTTCCAGATATTCAAAATCATGGAAGTTCAGTACAGGTTCGGCTTGGAAAGTCTCAACGAAAACTTGCCGGAGATGAAGGCGGATCTTATCCTGGCCCAAAAGCAGCTGAAACTCAAGCCACCTTTGGAGGAGTTAAAGTCTTTGTACTTCAAGGAGATAAAGTCCTTCATATCATTGCCGCTTCAATTCAAAGGCTTGGATGGTGCTCCACATGTGTATAAGGCAATGCCCGATCGCAATGCAGAGGGCATCGCAGTCGTTTTCCAGAAGGCAGATGGGCTGTTCCAGCGAGTGCAGCAGCTCCAGAACTCGTTTTCGCCATGGCTTGTGGTGGGGTTGATGCCTGAGCGAGTCCAAGAGCTCGTCGAAGAGCTGACGGACCCGAAGGATTGGGACCTCAACTTCAGAGCCATCAAGGCGAAGCGGAAGGAGATGGACAAGATTCCAGACACCGTGAAGATAGATTGCTTCACAATCAGCACAGTGGTGCTCAAGTCTGTGATTGAAGATCAACTCGAGCGCTTGAGCGATGCATTGGTCATTGCACTGCGGCGCAAGGCATCTGACGAGGCCAAGAGTGTGATGCAGTTTTTGGAGCAAGCCTTGGAGAAGCTAAATGTCCGTCCGGACACGGTGCAAGAACTTGGCAAAGCCCAAGCCGATGCGGCGATTTTGATGGAGGAACAGTCAAGTTGGAAGAAGCAACTCGATCAGGCTGAGGAGAAGAACAAGCTTCTTAAAACAGTTGGTACAGGCATTGACATGAGTGAAGTGCAGAACAAGTGGGAAGATTTCCTCATTCGCTTAGAGGCCTTCGAGCAGCTGGCAAATGACTTGCGCGAAGAGTTACGAGGCAAGATGGACCAGCGCATTGCCCAGATGAACAGCGACATTGACAAATTTGCGTCCCGCTGGCAGTCGTTAAAGCCGAAGACGGCAGATGACTGCTCGATTGAGGAGGCAAAGAAGAATGCGCAACAGATGCAGGAATGGCAATCAGAGTGGCAAGCCCTGAGGGAACAAATGACAGTGTTGCAGGGCGACTGCGCGGACTTCGGGCTGCCCGCGCCTGAACTGCAAAACATCACAGATGTGGAGGAGGACTTGAATCGGCAGCAGGCCAGCTGGAGCCTCTTCGAGGAGTTTACAACACAGTACGAGGAGTTGCTCCTGCAGACTTGGCTTGAATTGAGACCCCGGCTCTTCAGTCTTCAGGATTTAGCACACAACTGGCTGGCACGACTCCGAGAAGTTCCCAGGGATCCTGTGACGCACATGCTGTCGCAACAGGTGCAGAGGCTCAATGCCGCGCATCCGGCCCTGAAGGCGATGACGGGCGAGCCTTTCGAGAAGGATCATTGGAAGATTCTCTTTGGGCTTTTGAAACTGCCTGCCGACACCAAGCTAGAGGCTCTCACTTTTCGTGTCCTGGCCGAAAGGCTGGACATCATCGTGGAGAAGGTGGACGAGCTCAAGGAGTTAACCGCTCGTGCCATAGGAGAAGTCACAATCCGAGATGCCGTCATGGAGGTGTCCGCTTGGTTCGAACAGGCCGAATTCAATTTCATGGATCACGCAGTCAGGGGAGGATTCGTGCCCCTGATAAAGGATTGGAAAGACTTGATGTCAGAAGTGTCGGAAAAACAAAACCTCTGCGGCTCTTTGAAGGACTCGAGATTTTTTGGGCCCTTCAAAGATCAAGTCGACAAGTTTGAGGAGAAGCTAACCCTGCTGGACGAGCTGCTGCTCTGCATGAACAAAGTCCAGCGAAAGTGGGTCTACTTGGAGCCAATTTTCGGTCGAGGCTCCTTGCCTCGGGAGAAGGAGCGCTTCGACAAAGTGAATGGCCAGTATCGGCAGATCATGAAAAATGTGGGTGCCGCCAAGAAAGTGAACTATCTCTGCACGGTCCGAGGCTTGAAGGAGCAGTTCGTGACACTTTCTGACCAGCTGGAGCGGTGCCAGAAGGCTTTAAACAGCTTCCTGGAAGAAAAGCGTTCAGCTTTCCCGCGCCTCTACTTTATTGGAGATGAAGACTTGCTCGAGATCCTCGGTCAATCCAGCAACCCTGAAGTTATCCAAGCCCATCTGAAGAAGCTCTTCGCTGGCATCGCAACAGTGGACTTTGATCCAAACATAACGCGCATCGTTGCCATGAACAGCTCTCTGAAGGAAAATGTGCCACTTGGGAATGCAGTTGTTGTCCGAGAGGGTGAGGATCCTTTACCGGTTGAAGAGTGGTTGTCCAACCTCTCCAACGAGATGTTTTCCACGCTTGCAGTGCAGCTGCAGGGTTGCTATGCCCAGTCCGAAATGGACATGCAGCAGTTCGAAAAGTACCCGTCGCAATTGCTTTGCCTGAGTGCCAACATCCATTTCACCCACAACATTGAAAGGTACATGAGCAACGGGCAACTGCTCCAACTCAAGGGGGACTTGCAAAGCCAGCTGACCTCCATGACATCGCTTTCTCTGGACGGGGCCTTGCCTCAGGCGAAATTGAAAGCCCTGATCTTGGATCTGATCCACAACATCTCCGTCCTAGAGGATTTGCTGGTGCACAAAGTACAGAAGGTGTCCGAGTGGAGCTGGTACAGACAACTTCGCTACTACCTGAAGCAAGGAGCTGGCCCGGAACACAAGCCCTGCAGTGTTCGCATGCTGGAGTGTGAGCAGAGCTACTCCTTTGAATACCAGGGGAACGCCCCGAAGCTTGTGCACACACCACTCACGGACAAATGCTACTTGACGTTGATGCATGGCCTGCATCTTGGATACGGAGGAAATCCATACGGCCCTGCTGGAACTGGCAAGACAGAGTCAGTGAAGGCCCTCGGCTCTTGTTTGGGGCGACAGGTCCTAGTGTTCAACTGCGATGAGGGAATCGACTTTCAAGCTATGGGCCGAATCTTCGTTGGCTTGGTCCGCTGTGGCGCATGGGGCTGCTTCGATGAATTCAACCGCTTGCTGGAGGAGCAGATGTCGGCCATCTCGCAGTCAGTGCAGTTGATCCAGGCAGCCATCAAGAACAGTCACAGCACCGTTCACTTGCTCAATCGCGACGTGCCCGTGAATCACAACGCTGGGATTTTCATCACGTTGAATCCCGCGACAAAAGGCTATGGCGGCCGACAGAAGCTGCCAGACAACCTCAAGCAGCTCTTTCGCCCTGCGGCTTGGCATGCTAGCTGTACTGATACGATGAACGGTTTTGGGTAGAAAACCGAAGCCCCAGGCCCCAGGCCCTTCCATGAAAGTCGTAGAGCGAGGGCACGGCATGATGAGGTGGCCATGAGCGTGCCCGACAACGAGCTTATCGCAGAGGTCATGATGTTTGCGGAAGGGTTCATGAGCGCAAAGGTTCTGGCACAGAAGATTGTTGCTTTGTTCCTTCTGTCACGGCAATTACTGTCGTCACAGCAGCATTACGACTGGGGCCTTCGAGCCCTGAAGCCGATCCTGACTCTGGCTGGCCGACTCCTACAAGAGACGAAGGCTGAGCAAGCAGAGCCGCTTCGAGAAGATGAGGAATCTGTGATTTTGTTGAAGGCAGTCAGGATGAATACGCTCTCAAAGCTGACTTTCGCAGATTCAAAGCGATTTCAGGATTTGTGTGTGGACTTGTTTCCTGGAATTAATGTGAAAGACATCGAGTATAAAGAGCTCGAGGCAGTGATTCGCGAAACGATGCGTGAGATGAGGCTTGCAGAAATCGACTCGCAGATCTACAAGATGCTGCAGTTTCATGAAGCATGTCAACAGCGTATGGGTGTGGGCATTGTTGGGCCTTCAGGCTGTGGCAAAAGCACAATTTGGAAGGTACTTGAGGCCGCCTACAAGAAACAAGGAAAGAAGTATGTCGTGCATGTGATGAATCCTAAGTCAATGCACAGGATTCGCTTACTTGGCCACATGGACCACGACACACGTGAATGGTTTGATGGCGTCCTCACCGCCAGTGCAAGGAAAGTCATCAAAGAGCCATCGACAACCCACAATTGGATCGTGTGCGACGGCGACATCGATCCTGAATGGATAGAATCGCTGAACAGCGTTTTGGATGACAACAAGCTTCTGACAATGCCCAACGGAGAGCGCATCCAGTTCGGATCGAATGTGAATTTCGTTTTCGAAACTGATCATTTGCGGTTTGCATCTCCTGCCACGATCAGCCGCTTGACGATGATCTTCCTTTCTGAAGAAGATGTTGATGTCAAACCTCTCGTAACTTCTTGGATCCTGAAGCAGCCAGAAGAGCAGCAGGGCCAGCTTGAGAGTTGGTTCGACGAGCTCTTCTACAGGGCTTTGGACTGGCTCTACAAGGGTTCCCGTGAGATGGCGATTGAAACAACTCGGATGGGCATGGTCAGCAATGTTCTCGGTCATCTCAGCAAGGCCGAGGGCGAGGCTGCTGTGACCGTGCACGATGAAAGCCCAGGGATTTCGAAGCAGAGCTTTTTGCTCGCGATATGTCGTGGACTGGGAGGCAACCTGTCAGAAGATGATCGTGCTGCACTGACACGTGAGGCTTTCAAATGGTCGAACGAGAACATTCCTGATCCAAGCCAGCCACTTCACTGCCAGGTTGTCGAGTCCTTGATCGTTGGTTACCAGGTTTCTGCAGGCACCGAAATTTCTCTCGAGGACGTTAAGCGGGCTGCAGTGTTGCCTCCATTGGTTCCAACTGCCACCGTGTTGCGCAACATGGATCTCTTCTCGACGTGGCTAGCTCAGGAACAGCCTTTCCTTGTCAGTGGTCCAGAGGGTGCTGGCAAGAACTTGCTGATCCGTCATGCCATTCACCGTCTGCAGAACGAGTCGGATGCTGCTTTGAATGTCGCAGTTTTAAACTGCAATGCACAAACATCTTCCAAAGATGTACTGCAGAAGTTGCGTCAGTTCTGCGCGATCTCCACCGGCACTACGGGTCGGATCTACAGGCCACGGGAAGGCCGGCGCCTGGTATTGTATTTGAAGGATATTAACTTGCCCACGCCGGATAAGTACGACACTTCTGAAATCATCATGTTCTTGCAGCAGGCGGTGATGCACAAAGGCTTTTATGATGACGACTTGGAGTTTGTGCTGCTGGAGCATATTCAGATAGTGGCTTCTATTGCGCCAGCCAGCACACTCGGTCGTCACCGTCTAGCGACGCGCTTCACAGCAAATGTCAGAGTTTGCTCAATTTCATACCCGAGCTCAGAGGAGCTGGTCGAGGTCTACACGCACTTTCTGCGTGCAACTTTCACATCACCGGACTGGCAGAATGTGTCCGATCGAAGCCATGGCTTGTGCGAAAAGCTGGCAGAGGCAATGGTTGACATTTACGCCAGCATGAAAGCCAAGTTTACCATGGATGATCACGAGCACTATTTGTTCAACCCCAGAGACCTGACACAATGGGTGCTTCAGCTGCTGAGGTACGAAGTGATGTCCGTCGAGAGTCTTGTAGAGGCCTGGGCGTATGAAGCCACCCGAATCTTCCGTGACAGGCTCGTGGGCGATGAAGCCAAATCACATTTTGATGCGTTGCTCAGAAATGCACTGATACAGTATGTCGGTGTGGACGTGGAGGTGGACAAGCTGATGTTCACGGCGATGCTCACTCTGAACGACGAAGGAGTGCCCAGTGGTGACATGAAGAAGGTCTCGCCTGAAGACTACACGAAGATGGTCAAAGACGGCTTGAAGTCCTACCAGCGCGAGGTTAAGGATTTGGAAATTGAACTCGTGCCAGAAGTTCTTGAGCAACTCAGTTGGATGGATCGTGCACTTGCCGCACCCGTTGCGAATGATCTCTTGGTCGTGGGACGGTCCGGGGGTGGCAAGCGCTCGGTGATCTCCCTGTTGGCCCACATGCATCGCTTGGCATTGTTCAGCCCTGCGCCTGCACGGCGTTATGGTGACAAGGAGTGGAAGCGGGACCTTAAGGCAGTGATGCAGATGACGGGCGTGGAGAAGCAGCACACCATTCTGTTCTTGGAAGACCATCACTTGCTAAAATCCGAGTTCCTGGAATCAATCAACTCTTTGCTTAGTGCAGGTGATGTTCCCGGTATTTGGACACCCGAGGAGCTGGAACCATTGTTAGCACCCCTGAAGGAGGAATGGGCTGCATCACAGGGCAGGGGAGGTGGCGCAAGGACACCATTCGAGTATTTCTGCAACCAAGTGCAACAGCGCCTCCATATCGTGCTCTCCATGGATCCGAATCACCCCCACTTCTTGCCGTATTGCGCCGCAAATCCGGCATTGTTCTCATGCACGACGGTTCTTTGGTTGGATGAATGGTCTGAGCAGAGCAAGACGATCATCGCACAAAGAATTCTGGGCGAGATGTTGTCTCAGAAAAACCTGGGATCCCTGTTGCAGGACATCCATGCCTCTCAAGCTAAGGCTTCTCCCAGGCACTACATCACGCTTCTTCAGACTTGCCATGCCATGTACTCGAAGAAGATTTCCACTGCATCTGGGCAGTCATCACACCTTCAGAAGGGCTTGTCCAAGCTCCAGGAGGTAAGCCAGACTGTCGAGAGGTTGCAGGAGGACGCCATTGCGAAGCAGAAGGTTTTGGAGGAGAAGAAGGTGTTGGCTGCCGAAGCTCTGCAGCGCATCACTGCAGCCATGCAGCAGTCAGCAGATCGCCGGCAGGAGGTTGAACGCTTGGAGGGGCAAACGCAGCTTGAACAGGAGAAGAACAGTGCGGATAAAGCATCCATTGAAAAAGAGCTCTCCGAAATTCAACCCATCCTCGATGCAGCAAAGAAGGCCGTCGGCAGCATCAAGCCGGAACATCTCAACGAGATCCGGGCTCTGAAAATGCCTCCAGATCCCATCCATGATGTGCTCAACGGGGTGCTTCGCTTGATGGGGAACTATGACAACTCGTGGGCTTCGATGAAGAAGTTCTTGGCCGGTACTGGTGCCATCCAGCGTATCATCAACTTTGATCCCCGCCAAATCGATGAGAAGACGCGTTCGGACGTGGAGAAGCTGCTGCGGGAGAAAAGCAACTCGTTTGATCATGCAACGATTTACCGCGTCTCCGTGGCTGCGGCTCCCTTGGCCAAGTGGGTTGTGGCTTGCGTCCGATATAGCACCGTCCTGGTAAAGGTTGCGCCCATGGAGAAAGCCCGTGATGATGCAGAAGAATCTTTGCGGGCTGCACATAACAAATTGGCGATTTACAAGGAGGAGCTGGTCCAAATCGACGAAGATGTCCAACGCCTTCAAGAAGAGTTTGCAGCACGCACCCGTGAAGCCGAAGCCCTTCGTGTTGACTTGGAACGCGCAACTTCCACACTTGAGAAAGCAGATCACCTGATGAGCAAGATGTCTGGGGAGAAGGATCGTTGGGAGTCCCAGGTGGCCGAAATCCAGCGAGATGCTGCTCTACTTTCAACTCATACGTGCCTGTCAGCAGCCTACTGTACCTACCTGGGGCACTTCTCCGAGGATGTCAGACAACAGGAGCCGAATCGGAAAGTGCTGTAGTACTCGCTCCCCCCTCCCACCCTGCATGTCTGCTTCCACCTCTAGAAGCTCCTAGCCTCATGCTCCGTGTGCGAACATTCCCTAGCATGACGAGCGTCTGTTTTCTGACGAGAGCGGCTTTGTGGATTTTCCCGTCCGCAACAGACCAAGCAAGCAACATTTTTGCAGTTTATCTCCTGCCCGGTCTCGTAGCCTGACAGACATGGCCAGGCTTGATAGTCCTGACCCATCCCTTTTGCACGTGTGCAGGCGAACTTCCTGTGGACCGAGTCGCGCGGAATCACAACCTTCGATTTCTTGCGGATGATGTCGTCCGAGAGTGAGCTTCTGACTTGGAAGGCGCAGGGGCTGTCCGCAGACCGTCTCTCACAAGAGAATGCTGTCATGATCAACTCTGGCATACTCGTTCCTTTCATCGTCGATCCCAACAGCCAGGCTCTCGAATGGCTAAGGCAGACCAATCCACACGCAGAGAGCGTGTTGCAGCAAGACCCGAAGTTGGTCTCCCAGCTTGAACTGGCAGTGCGATTTGGAAAGGTTCTTATCATTCAAGAAGTTGATGGAATTGATAACTACCTGGTGCCGCTACTTAGACGAGACATGATCCGGCAAGGGCCCAGGCAGGCTGTGCAAATCAGTGACAAGATGTGCGACTTTGACGAGAACTTCCGGCTCTTCCTGTGCACGAGGAATTCAAGCGCGATCGAGATGCTGCCCCCCAACACGGCCTGCCTTGTGACGCGCGTGAACTTCACTGTGACACGTGCTGGACTGGAAGGCCAGTTGTTGGGCGTGACCTTGCAGCACGAAAAGCCCGAGCTTGAACACCGCAAGTCAGAACTCTTACAGAAAGAAGAAGCTTTGAAGGTAGAGCTGTCCGGTCTTGAGAAGACGCTACTAGAGCAACTCGCCGACTCCAGCGGCAACATTCTTGAGAACGAGCCACTTATTCAGTCTCTCGAGCAGACGAAGGCTGCTGCAATTACAATCTCAGAGTCATTGACGGAGTCATCCCGCCTGCAAATGGACCTTGATCAGCAGCGTGAGGTGTATCGTCCGCTTGCCACATTGGGCTCTCGAATCTTCATTCTCGTCAAGGAGCTTTCTGTCATCGACCACATGTATCGATTCTCTTTGGAAGCCTTCATGGCTCTATTCAACAAAGTGCTTAACCTGCAGTTGGGTTCTGAGACCACGGACGACAAGCTGAGGCAGCTGGGAAACCAGTTGAAGATCGTTGTGCTGTTCTACATTTCACGCTCACTGTTCAAGGCCGACAGGCTGACGTTTGGCATTCACATGGTCAGGGGCATAATGCCTGAGAAGTTCGAGGCGAACGAATGGGAGCTCTTTCAAGGAGTATACATTCCAGCCAACCAGCCGCCAGCACCAGCTCCTGGCTGGTGTCCTCAGGACAGAGCGCAGGCACTCCAGACTCTGCGTGCGACTTTCCCAAAGATCGACGAGCACTGGCAGCTGAACAAAGATGCGTTGTGGGCTCCTTGGGTGGCATCTGACAAGTGTGAGGAG